TATTAGTCTGACTGGCATTCAGTGTTTACCGTTTCTTTAAGGAAATACCTCTCGATGCTTTCTTTTTTAAAAGATAGACATGAAAAGGTTGCAAATGCTCAGTTTTTTAAGATTTTAATGAAAGATTATAGAGAACTTGGATTTCCATCCATTCGTTGTTGCACACTCTCCTCCCTACCCACTCCTCCCCTCCAGTTTGCTTTTCTCTTTGAGAAGATTGTTATACAATACCCACCTCTCCATCGCACCCCCAGTCCACTATGCAGCTCTTGTTTTAGATTCTTGCCATGCAGATAATCTGGCGCCCCTTGCTCCCTCACCGATCCAACCTTGCTGTCACATTCTTCTTCATATTATCCACCTCCTTATTTTCTTAGCGTATAGATTGAATAGATACCACGAAAGGATGATGCTGTCTCTAAATAGTTTGGAATAAGCAAAAGAAAAGATAATTAGGATTCACTTTTTGTGCCTTTTCACATTTGTTATTTTAAGACTTTTTTTTTATTTTGAAAATTTCTCTCATGTGAAAAGAAAAAAAAAAGTCCATTGTTCTTTAACACTGTTTAGCTACCCTCTCAGTTGCATCAGAAGCCGGCCCATACAATTTTTTCCAAGAGTGGATTTGGAGGGTGTGTTGAAAAGTTTCCTTTCAGATTTGAAGTCTAAACTCCCCCATATATGTGGGTTTTCTATAAAAATGACAAATAAACCATGTTACTACACACAAGAACTAACTAAACCATCTATCCAGGTAAGAGATTTCCTATCCTATGTGTCCATTCATCTCACCCAGACCTCTTCCCTCCTTTAGTGAAGTAATAACTAGGAATGCCAGAATTCTTCTTTAAAATTACAGTATTTTTGTAATACTGCTCGCTGTTATTGTAGGTTCATAATTTGAAACTACCATTTATTATTTTATGTTTAGTTTTATGTTTAAGCACATTTTAATTAACAAAGCATGCTCCTCAATCATTTTGGCCATTTCTCAACTTTCAGTCATTACTAGCCCTCCATTAAATATCCAGTTTTATGTTTATTTTATGTTTAGTGTGGAAACAGACTCACTGTGTTCGAGTCTGTTTCATGTGTTTCACCCTCCACTCAGGTTCCATGGCTGTTAATCTGTTGGAAGAGACTGTGTGTCTTCTAAAAAGCAGCTGGTGGACTTGAACCGCCAGAGATGCACATGTCTTTGGGTTCACAGCACAGCTCACTACACACTGCCAGCAATGTGGAAGCAATACTTACCAATCTCTTCTAATTTAGTGTACTCCCTTGCAGGGAGCCATGGGGGTGTAGTGGGTTACAAGTTGGAATGCTAACAAAAAGATAAGTAATTAGAATCCACGAGCGAGTCATGCCGTGGAAAAAAAGATGGGTATTAGCTCGGGGTTACAGCCTCAGAAACCTGTGGAGGGTGACGCTAAGTCCGACTCAACTCAAAGACAGTGGGTTTGGTTTTGTCCTGGGGAAGCACAGATTATACATACCTTGTTATGCCCTCTCCTCTCATGCCTTATACTTAATATGAGTAATTCATTGTATCTCACTGGATAAATGAATCAATGATCTCAGCATAATTTGTAAATACTGACTTCACAAATACCAAGTTTACCTTGAACTTCTGCCACTTCTTTTGCATCTGATTTGTTGAAAAAGCCTTTGAATAATTACATTTCTAGAAGCTGAATTACTTAAATAGCACTTCCGTTTTAAGATGAGGTTAATTGAAATATTATCTATGATGGAGAACAAACAAGTAATATGTTATGGCCTAAAAACTCACTAGAAGGAGGTTTGTTTGTTGTTTTTTTTTTAAAGAAGGTTTGGTTTGTTTGGGTTCTTTTTCTTCTGTAGCATTCCAGCCTCCTCTCTTTATTTATGCCAATTATTTGCTGGGGGTAAACGCTAAAGCATTTGCTCTGGAAATGCCTCATTATCTGGACTTGACTGTTTGATTCCTTGGTGTCCTGCCACTTAAACTTACCATATTGTTCTAAACCCATGTTCCCATCAGCCTGTGGCAAGATAGACTGAAGTGGAACCGAGTTCTGGTTCAGCTTTTAAGCTAGAACATCTCTGAAGTGGTGTGAAGCACAGAAGCACATTTTAATTAACAAAGCACGCCCCTCAATCATTTTGTCCATTTCTCAACTTTCAGTCATTACTAGCCCTCCATTAAATATCCAGTTAACTCTATATGCAAATAAAAGCTTTTTGTATTCTGTATAATTTTATGTTAATATGGTTGTTGTTATATGCCTTCAAGTCACCTGTGACTCGTAGTGACTGTGTACAACAGCTCTGAACCCTGCTCTATCCTGAACCAAACTTACTGTCACTGACACACATACCCCCATTATCCCAGTCACTGAATCAATCCATCTCATCCAGGGTCTTCCTCTCTTGTGCTGTCCCTCCACCCTCCCAAGCATGATGTCCCTCTCCAAGGACTGGCCCCTCCTTGGAACATGCCCAAAGTAAGTCAGACTGAGCTTCAGAATCCTTGCTTCCAAGGAGCAGCCTGGTTTCATCCTCTCCAGGACAAACCTGTTTGTTCCCCTAGCAGTCCATGGTATATTCAGTCCTTTTCTCCAGCACCACAGCTGAAAGGCATCAATTCTCCTTCTGTCATCCCTCATCATTGTCCAGCTTTCTGATGCACAGCACATAATTGTGAAGACCATGGCCTGGATCAGGCACACCTTAGTCTCCAGACAGACATTGTTAATATAGAGCACTATATAAAGTGTATGTAAAATCTAGCAATTAAAAATTAACCCAGCTACATTCATCAATGACACCTAGCACAAAAATGACAATGAAGTTAGAAAACATATGTTAATTGTCAGGCTAAACCTTTAGTGGTTCTACTCTCTAAGTATATTCAAGTCTGTGAATTATTTATGATCTCACCTGCTGTTTACATAGACCCCTTTTGTGGTCTTTCAATAAATTTTAAAAATAAACCCACAAGATTCCCCCTCTGGGCTACTCACTGTGTTTGGAATTGGAAGAATAGGTAAATAATATATCTGTGGGCTGCAGCACACAGCCTGTAGAGCAGAATGCCCATCCACATGCTCTTGACAGGCAGAGAAAGGGACAGGTCTGCATGTCAACCCATTTCAGAGACATTTTAGACAAGTTTCAGCTCATAATACAAGCAATTTATTGTTGTAGGAGTCTTAATAGAGTGACTTTTTCTTCTGATGTTCCCAGTAGTGGAAATGCTATTTAAAAGTTACCACACTGTATAAATCTAAAATTAGCTCTTCGATACTTTTCCAGAATTAATTTCCACTTAGTTTTGAACCCTTTCGTCACTGAAAGGACAGAATTCATTCTGGTCACTTCAGGGAGACTCATTCTCACAGGACATCTCATTGTGGTCACACTTAAGAGCTGCTCCTCTCCTAGGATCGTATCTCTGTGCAGGACAGCAGAGGCTCGATCAGGCCCCTCTCATGGGACCACCACCCTGCTAGGCTCCAGACCCCCACGGAGCTGACTGATCGCTAGTAGATTCCAGTAGAGTTGAGAGAAACACAGTCATTGCATGATAGTTGATTGTTGGGGGATTTAGAAAAGGGAGGGTGGTGGTAAGAATATAGAGGAAAGAAGCCTGAACCTTAGGGCAGTGGAGAAGATGCTTCAGACGAGAAAGCAGCCCAGGCTCCTGTGAAGTCTCCTTGATCGTACAGCGTTGACCATACCTTTGCCTTAAAGTACTTCTCTAAAGGGTGGTGTCTAATGTGGGTGAGAGACAAAAGACTGCATGTGTTTAAGAAAGCTCATTGTGTTCTTGTTCTCTCCTTCATGGTGCTGCTTTGTTAATATTAATTTATCCTTCTAATATGTGTATCTATCTATCTATCATCCCTATATTTACTTTCATAGTTTTATGTTATTATTTTTACTCAGAGTTAAAGTATGAAAGAAGAAAATACTTCACTTTTTAATTAACTATTTAGTAAACATTACTTTGGACTCTTATGTAACAGGAAGTGTGAGGCTGACACAGGATAGATCAGGGTTCCGATCTTTTGTTCATAGGGTCGCGACTCAACAACACCTAATAACAACAAATATTACTTTAGTTAAAAAAAACAACTTTGAACTCACTAGAGGACATTAGCATAATGTTAATATAAGGGCTTATGTAGTAATGTTGAATATTTTAATTTTTTCAGATTCGGTTCTTTTTAGTGTACACATGTATCAGTTGAGATTCACTTTAGTGGAAAAGAAGTAAGATTATGTTTGAAAAGAATACAAAGACTTATTATATTTACACGTTTTTGCTACTCTGCATCCTTTCAGGAAAACAAACTCAGACCATCCAATCTCACTACTAAAAAGTTACTCAGGACTTCTCTGACCAAAGCCCCTCCAGTAAGGCCTGCCACAGCCCCACGTCTCCCACCATGTCTGGCATCAGAGGACCACAGGGTGGCGCTCCCGACCAGCCAGCTGAAGCCACACACCCTCCCAGCCCTGAGCAGAGAGACATCCCAGTCCAGCAAGGCACCACATGGTTGCCGCGATGGAGCAAAGCCCACGGGAAGAAGTACTCAAGGTCCAGACACACGGCTTAGCTCCCACAGTGAAACTGCCTCAAAATTCATACCAATTTTCAAAAATCGAGTATCCCAGATGAACAAAAACATCTCAAAGCCTGGCAGTCTGAAAAGAAAACAGCATGTTGTTGCAGAATCTAAGCTGTTTTCATCAAAAACTGTTGAGGTCCAGGATGACAAACTGAGTTCAGGTTCTGTTGCAAAGAAAAGATCTAATAGTGGCATTCCGTCGCATGCTGAAAATTCACATCAGAAGAATCCCAGACCTCTGCAAGCAAAAAGTACTGAGTCCTGTGCCAACAGAACAAAACATGCCCGTTCTGATGACAGATCACTAACGGGGAGTATGAAGAAAAGTAAACAGGCAGCGGATAATACAGTACTTCAGGTGCCAGGTCACAGTTCATATGGAAGGAAAGGAATTGTTGACTTTCAAATGAACAGGAAAGACAACTTAACAAATAAATACATAACACAGATTTTAGGGAAAGACCATGGGTCAGTGAAAAGGGAAAGACAGCCACACATCTTTGAATCAGACACAGAAACTGAAGATCAACAACTACTCCAGCAACTACCAGTAAATCAGACAAGAGAAGCTGCAGGCAGCGTCCACAGATCTCAGCGGAAACAACATGCAGAATCTTCTCGAGCTTCCAGCAAGCATCATCTCAGTCCTGGCCTTTCTTACGGGCGGTCCGGTTCTTCTAGGGACCAGGTACAAAGATAATCTGAGGAGATTTGGGAAGTACCCATTATATGTTAGAACTTTAACCTGCAAATAAAGATTTCAGTGGTTCCCCTATGATCATCTAGAAACATAATCATTAAACAATATATATGCAATAAAACTGTAAGCATTTATAGTTAATTTTTAACAGAATATTATGCTTTAATCTCATGATAGGTGCATATCCGGGAAAACCCGAAGCCTGAGAAATGGTCTGTCATCCCTGACGTTTAGAACATGGATGTGGACGAAGAAAGCACCCACCGGGCACTTCTGATGGCTTGCTTCGGTGTCTTTGGGATTATTGTTCTTTTCATTATACAGATAGAGATTGACAAGTATAAGGGCACTTCTTGGTAAATTGGAGTAACTTATGGATTTTTTTTTAAGTTTTAAAATCAGTAAAAAATAAAAACCAAACTGAAAAATAAACCCACTATTTTGGCGTACTAGTAAGAATCTGTGCTGCAGTCCTGAAGGTTCGCCAGCTGCTCCACGGGCAGACAGGGCAGTCTCCTCTGCTCTGACAGCCTGCTGGATGGTCAGCTGTGGGTCAGTTGTGACTCGGTACACAACGCCACAACTATAAAGTCTCTTCTGACTCATGGAAGCCCAGAAGCACACAGCCCCGCCAGCTCCCAGGCTCACAGTCTTCGTGGAAATGGAAATGCCTGCTTTATGTTCTGTAGTAACTGTTGGACAAAACTGTCTAGTACTTAATTCACCATGCCACCAGGCTTCCTTCAGTAAGAAGCTGGAAATGGAAACTTAAATCCCCAAATCCTTTACCCACTGGTGGGAAATGGGAAATACTCGGTGTGAAAAATAGTGTATACAAACTTTGTAAGTAAATCAGTATAAAATAAAAAGTTTATTAAAATTTAAAAAAAAAAACACAACTCAAACTCATTGCTGTGGAGTTAGAGCCAACTCTTGGCTGATCCTCTTTGTAGGTTTTGGGGGCTGTAAATCACAGAAAAGAGTCCCATCTTCTGTGGAGCAGCTGGTGGTTTTGAACTGCCATTAATGTGCAGCCTTTGGATTGCAATGTATCTGTCTACAGACCAGAGCCCCCTGGAAACGGAAATGAGAATGCTAAACTCTTGCATAGGGCCTATCCATGCAGCTGTTTTGTGTAGTAAGGCCCTGGGTTGGGGAGTTGGGGCGCCACTTCCCAGGCAGTTCTGAGACTAGTTACAGATGACCCAGTGTCTCCAAAGTTAAGCCTCAGACTGAAATGCCTCTGGTTTCCGCCCTCACCCCCCATAGCCATCAAGTGGATTCTGACTCACATGATCCTTGAGGCCAGAGCAGAGCTGTCCCATGAGGTTTCCAAGGCTGTTTTTATGGAAGGAGGTACAAGGCTCAGCTGTGTCTCCCATGGTGAGTTGCCCTGCTAACCACAGGCTGCATGTCTCCAGTGGTTCAAATCCACCAGCGGCTCTGTGGGGGAAAGGTGTGCTGTTTCCTCCATTGGAATTTCAGCCTCAGAGCCAGGGAGAGGGTCACTATTGAGTCAGACCAGTGTGATGGCGATAAGAGTAAATGAATGAACCTTTGCCGAAGCAGACAACCTGCCCTTTCTCCTGTGGAGCAGCTGGTGAATTTACACCACAGACCTTTTAGTTAGCAGCCCAACATGCAGTGCATTGCACCACCAGCATCCTTGAAAGTGCTGCCAGAGCTGCTGCCATCAAGTCAGTTCCAGCTCATGACCAGATCCTCATCCAGCTCTTGAGGCTGTGCATTCAAGGGAGGAGACTGCGCTCTGTCGGCAGGGGAGCCGCTGGTGAGTTCAGACCTTTCAGTGAGCAGCCCATCATTAACCTACTTCAACTCCAGGTCCCCGGTGCTGGCTGAATTTTAACCTGAGATTCAGCTGACGATGTTGTTTCTAGGGCACTTGAAATCCATAAAAGTCGGGGCCTGGGTTTTGCCCTTCCTCCACTCTGCCTATTCTGAAAATATCTACAAATGCTTACTTGCACAAGACAATTGGAATATATTCAGCCCAAATTCTTTATGTTCAAACTAGAAAAACTTTTCTTCATTTCTCCTCCAAGTGTTTGTTCCTATAACGACTAGTTTTCAGACTGCTATGAATCACTGAGAACCACTTGAATTTCTGCTGATATAATTTTTAAATGTGCTTTAAGCGACTTTTAGTGAACACAGGAGAAGTACACACTAGATTATCATAAAATATTTCACTTGCTTTAAAAATAAAATGAAATTTATTCCAGAATTCATATGGTTCCTTAAAATTAGAACCGAATTAAGTTTTCTCAAAAATGTAGAAATCATTTCATAATTTAAAAGAATATCATAATGAGAAAAGTGACAAAGTACTGTTTTTGAAAATGTTTTCTCCCAAATAAAAAACGAATACATACCTATAAAAGTTGATGTGATACAAAGCAGTTTAAAGCAAAATCTTAAATATCATCTCTAATCCCTTTCTCCAAAGATGGCGCCAAAAGCGAAGAAGAAAGCACCTACCGCTCCCAAAACTGAAGCCAACGCAAAGGCATTAAAGGCCAAGAAGGTGTCCTGAAGGGCATCCACAGCCAAAAAAAAAAAAGAAAATCCGCATGTTACCCACCTTCCGGCGGCCTAAGACACTGAGACTCCAAAGGCACCCGAAATACCCCCAGAAGAGCGCGCCCAGGAGAAACAAGCTTGACCACTATGCAGTCATCAAATTTCCCCTGACCACTGAGTCAGCTATGAAGAAAATAGAAGACAACAACACACTTGGTGTTCATTGTGGATGTCAAGGCCAACAAGCACCAAATCAAAAAAGCTGTAAAGAAGCTCATTGATGTCGCCAAGGTCAACACTTTGATTAGGCCTGATGGAGAGAAGAAGGCTTATGTTTGACTTGCTCCTGACTATGATGATGTTGCCAACAAAATTGGGATCATCTGAACTGAGCCCAGATGGCTAATTCTAAGTACAGATTTTTCTCACCAAAAAAAAAATTACCTCTAATTCTATTTTCCAGGGAAACCAAATACCTGTTAATCTTTAGTGCACACAAACCTTGATTTTAGGACCATGTTGGGGGAAAAGGCTTGTTTCTTATCTTTGCAAAATGTCCAGTTACCTTAGATAACCATTCTGGTAAATGAAAATATGCTTATTTTGCTCTCACTTTTATTTTTGTTATTGAAATTTATTTGCAGTTGTTACTTTTTCAAATTGACATTTTGAAACCTCACAAAACAGTTAATTCTAAGATGAGGCAGTGTTTTGTTCTGATGTACTTAGGTTCACTGTGAGCTGGAGACAGGATGACAGAACCTTACAAGAGATCCTTGCCACCCAACTTCAACAACCATCAGAATGTTGCCCCTATTATATCAGTAGGAGATCGGGTGGCCCAGAGTGTAGCATGTTGGGCTGCTGGAAGGTCCGTTAGTACCCCAGCCACACCATGGGAGGAATGAGCAGTCTCCTCCTGCAAACATCTATAGCCAGAAACCCAACAGAAGATTGTTGTGTGTGTGTGTGTGTGTGTGTGTGTGTGTGTGTGCGCGCGCACACGCATGTGCAGTCATACATCCACATCAGCACTCAGACTCATTGCTGTTGGGTTAGAACTGACTTAGCTGACCCTCCAGTGAGTTTTCTGAGACTGTAAACAGCATGGAAGGAGGTAACCCATCTCTTCTGAGGAACTTCGGGTGGATCTGAACTGCCCAAGAGGTGCCCCTTTGGGGTTGGCAACACAAGTCCCTAAAGACTACGATACCAGAGCTCTGTCTTTATGTGTTTGTATGTATAAAACAAAAAATACAGTTTAGGGTCTACTGTATCTCTATTGACTCAAAATATTTCACTCAGGTTTAGCATGCAAACAGAAAGTCTGAACAAATATAAAACCTATTTCCCAGCAGAACCAGAGCTGTTTGTCATGCCCCTAAGTGCAGCAGTTGAAATGTGTGGGCTCAGCACAATTTACTGGGCATCTGCCTTCGCAGGCAGGGTGCTGAGCAATTGGGGCACCCCTGGCACCCCAGTCTCTAACAAACCTGAGTGTGGCTCCAAGAAGACTTGGGGAGGCGGTGAAAGAGAGCAGATTCTAAGACTACAAACCAAGTATCAGAAAATGAGAGAAACAGGCAAAGCTTCATGCCTTAAAAATCGTATTCTTGGTTCCAGAAATGTTAGATGTTTATTTTACAAAGTATGATGTAATTGTTGTGGTAATGTATGTAAGAGAAGCCAAAAATCTTCATGGAAGATTCCACAGGAGCTGTCTTTCATTAAAGGAAAAAGAAGAGTAAACCAAGTATGAGTTTCACACTGATTGTTTAAAATGTGATTTGTTGTCCTTACCATTTGACTAACCGGCTGGAAATGAAAAGCTTTTAAAATGAGCACAAACCGTACTTTAACACTGTAAATACAACTATCAGTCCTAAAATTAGGTTACTTCATTAATTTGCTATATACTGCCATAAGCATTTCTGCTTTCCAGAATTCTCTGTATTTTCCAGTTACTTTGCCATTTTCATAGGGAAATACATGGGTTTACAGCTCATTTTGAGTGTGTTCTTCTCAGACTGGTAGCAGAGATAACCAGCAGTCTGCAGGACTAGCAGGCCATGTGTGCAGCCACAGCAAAGAGCTCTGGGACACTCATGTTAAGTCACTGGCCATGTACAGCACATGTCAGCTCTGCAGACCAGGCCCCTTGGCCTCCCTGTCCGCAAGGCTATCCTGCCAATGACCGTAATTGTTCCTTAGAGAATGAAACATTATTATTAGACTAGAAAATCTAAATAAAAGATAAATCTACTGCTCAAATGATGATGTAGTTTATGCCATTTATACAAATAATGCTC